AGAGATATATTAAATCCAAAAGAAGGTGGAAAAATGCCTTAAAGCTGTAAAGAGTAGGTAGATAATCGGACAGGAGTGATAGGGCTGCCAGCCTCACTATGCATGGGGTCTTGTGAGCTCTCCTGGAAGTGAGGATACAGTCCAGGGACCCTCAAGTCCTGCTTTGAGGAAAGTCCCACGTGTGAGTGGGTCTGATGGACAAGGCCTCATCCATTGTCTACCAGAGCCAAGGAGGATGGTCCCAATAAGCCTTGCATCTTGGCTGGTTATTACAAGCAGCAGAGACCCAATATGGGACAGAGTACACCAAACCATATTACTCTCACTATGAAATCTTAAATCCAAGGCCCTGGATTGTTCCCACAAATCACCTTGGATGGTGATTCTTCCAGTGGCACTTTTGAGAACTGCCAAGGATTCCCAGAAAGACGTGTTTTTTTAGAGGAAGAAACACAGACCCATGGTTAGGGGAGATGATAGAGCACTTGGCATCTTGACACTACCTCCAACCATCATTTTAGTCAAGTCACAAACTTTTTCTTTTCTTTTTTTTTTTTTAAATTTCAGTTGCACCTGCAAAATATGATTAACATTCTTTCCCTGAAGGGTCATAAACCCAAGTCCCTTGGGACTCAAACTGAGATAATGCTAGGAATAGTTGCTAGATATCAGAAACTCTCCCCTGAGCCATCCTAACAGAAGAAATGTCACTTCCACTGTGCCTTCCCAACAGCTTCCAAAGGTTGATGATTTCCAGAAATGCCTGCCACCCAGCCCATGCGCTCCATGGCTGCAGCAGTGTGCATTACGAGAGGACACGGCTGGTTGGAGTAGTCTTGCTGGGAGTTTAACAAATCCCAACACTGCAGGAGCCCTTAAGTACTATAAAGGGAGATTTCCTGCAAAATCCTACAAATCCTCCCAAGTAACCCTGCACTTTCCAGCTGTTCCTCTGAAAGGATTGCTTGAAGGAATTCCAGAATGTGCTCCAACCACAGACCCTCAACAGTGCCTTCTGACATTAGGAAGCCAGTCGGCGCTGTCCACCAAGTGCTTCACCTGTACAGGGGTCATCATGCAAAGCCTGAGAATCTAGCACAATGAGGGAGTAGGAAAGAAGTAACACAGTCTTTTCTAACAGTTGGATGCTAGGATAAATTGTACAGGAAAAATTAGTTTCAAACCATTCCGCTTTGGGAGGAGGTGGTATTTTTCTCTCAGGCTGCTTTTCAAAGAGAAAGAGTTAAAGATGCTGAGAAGGTTGGAAGAGCTATGGAGAGGGTACATCATAAGTGCCTAATAACCCTGTAACATGCCTGTGACTTGCTGCTGCAGGTAGTTGTGGGATAAAAGAGACCAGGCAGGCACACTGTACCAGTGTGACTGGGACAGATACCTTTAGCAACACAGGCTCCTCTGCTCTGAAACGCTCTGGTGTGTTTCAAGGTTTCATTCCTGCTTCCATTGCAACATCTCAGATGCTGTGTCCATGGCAAACACTCTAGTTCAATCTGTCCACCAAGTAAACACACTGCTTTCATCTGCAGGGCGGAGGAACTGCATTGGAGAAAGTCTCGCCAAGATGGAGCTGTTTGTCTTCTTTGTAGGGCTGCTGCAGACATTTACTTTTCAACCCCAGCCAGGAGTTTCAGAGTCTGACTTGGACCTTACTGTCCCTCAGACGACTTTCACGTTAAGGCCTCAGCCTCAGGCAACCTGTGCTGTCCTGCGTGAATAACTACAGCCTTGCTGAAGAGCAGCCCAACAAGTGGGGAAGCTGCTTAGACCCAATTTAACTATGCTAGGACTCACCACCCCCCATCCTGCCACATCACCCTCTTTCACATCCCCTTCTCACTGTCTCCATCCACACCCACTCTGTTTCTCTCCACCACTGCATCCACCCATAGGTTGCTGACCCCTCTTTGCTCCTGTGCTGTGAGGGGTGCATATGATCAGTTAGAAACCATGATCGTGGTTGACAAACACATACTTCTTCTCAAGACAGACTGTGCAAGGATTCACTGGAGGGATCAAGGGGCTGCTCTGGTGAAGGGGATACAGCCCACAAGTAGTAGGTGTGACACCCAGGTTCCTATGGCAAAGCAGTGAGGTTCATAACATCGCAGAAATCTGCCCAAAATCTGGAGGAAAGGCACACCACTGTTTGCTAAAAGCCACAGAAATACACTTTGGGTCACACACTTGGATCGTCTGTAGGTACCTCCTGAACTTTTCCAAGCTCCCTAATTACCCATAGCTTCTATGAAAATCCTACCAGGCTAGGCAGCCAAGTCAAACACCGGGAGTGAAAAAACAGATCAATTCATGTAATTTGATGACAAAGTTATTTCTACCTTGAACAGTGTCCTGAAAGATGTCTCAGAGTCTACAAACCCGTTTAGATAAGCAAATGCTGTTACCACCAAATTCAACACTGCTTCACAATCTGAATGAAAGAAGATCCACTTTTCTAAATTTGCAGTCTAAATCATAAGGCCATATGAGATTTGTACCAGCAAGCAATCACAGAAGGCTAATGATACAGGCCTGTTTCTAGTTTTATGGTTTTCTGTCTTTCCTGATCCTGTTAAATAGGAACAAACACTGTTCCTCTCTTCAGACCTCCTGGGTAGTGTTAAGAGCTGACGTCAGCAGTCAATCTGGTATTTGGGATTGTCTGGCCATTGGAACCAGCCATGCAATTTCCTTGCAAATGGTGTCTGATTTCACAATGCTTGTATTGCATACACACACACGCAAGGAGAATTGGGATCAGGGATTAGAGACGTCCTGGTTTTGGTTGTTTTCCTTTCCTCTGTAGCTTTGTCTGGCTGTTTTCCCCATCTGTAGCACTCTTATCTGCCATCATATTACACAATCTTATTCCAGTTGATGTATAGCTCAGGCAATTTTCATCCATTTATCTGCCTGTGAACTGCCACTTCTCCATATGCATTTTCTTATCATGTGCTTTATCATATTGTTTGTTTCCCCCTTCATGGGAACGAAATAAAGTTTTAATCCCACGTCTTCATTATATTTCATATGCCTGCCACCCAACTTTACATTACACAGAAATGGAAATGTCATGAAAGATTGATCCTGAGCCCAGAGTGACAACAAATATTATCATTTTACTTGTATCTCATAGGTGAGAGGTTCTGCATACCCTCATCCTAGTGAAAAACAGCTCAAGAGGAGACCCTCTTTTTCTGCAGAGTGGTTTCTCCAGGGCAAAGCGCTTTCCCTTTCTGCGCAGCTATGGGCTAATAGTCAGTCCTGGGGATGGCCTTGGTTTTTCACTTTTATGTCTTCAACTCTTAGTTGCAGAGGCTGAATGAAAGGTTGCCACCATAGCTTCACTGATGCTGGTGCTGTCCTTTTGTTTAGTGCCTTGGATCCTGAGCTTCTCACCTCTTGCTCTCCCAAAGCATTGCCTGCTGGCAATGTCACTCTTGAGGAGTGGTGGCAGCAGGATGGGGTCTTCTTCAGGGAAGGCAGGGAGGGATAGATAAAGCGACTGAAGAGCAAGCCACATATCAACTCAATGAAGGAAGTCTTGGCCTTGCTGAAATAAAAGACGACTTTTGACTTTGGCTTCAGAGAGGCCAGGACTGTTCCTGCACTAGCCCCTTCCAGAAGTAGTATGAACCCAAAAGACAGATATGGCAACACTCTAGGTGCTCCAGGGGACAAAACTGGGCTGGGTTCAAATCTGCACAAATTCGCTGGTGGAACATCAGCCCTGCCCCTTGCCATGGGCTCTCAGGTTCTTGGCTTCGAAGGAGAGAGATGGATTTCTTCTTACATGGCATATCAGCCTTCAGAGCCTGCTCTTTTTGGACCTCACCTTCCAGACTGGCACTCCCCAGCAGGCAGAGCAGAGCCCGCAGCAGTGCTGGCCACATACAGAGGTTCAGCAGCCTGCACAATCCCCGTGCCTCAACAGGAGCCATGAGTTACCAGGTGCAAACATCCAAGGAAAACATGTTTCTCTGATTCCTTTGAAAAGTGCATCCTACTTGTGCCTGTGTTAGCAGATGGATGGAAGTGATGACTCCTCAGCACACTGAATTAGACAGCTGAATATATCTCTGCAAAAGAAAGTACCTACCTCCCATTTATTTTTTAAGCCCAGAAATGGAAGAACATTGATTATGACTCAGCTACATATTTATCTAGCAGCAAACATTGGCTCTCAGGGGTGGAAATACCATTTCTACATTCCTCGGTGGCCTGAGGGTCTTCTTTCCAGCTGCAAAACATGTTTGTGCCATGCAACACACTGATCTGAATTGAAGACAAACATCTTGAGGCAGGACAGGTGGCTTGATTTTTAAAGCAAGATCTGAACAAATCCACGTCACGCTGTCTGTGGCTCATGCCACATGCAGCTGGCTGGGCAGCACATCCCATAGCCCAGCCTGCCATCCCTACCACTGCATGGTGCTGGGACCAGGGGCTCCTGCTCTCAGAGGGGCAATGATCAGGTGCAAGGATTTCAGCAACTGTACAGATTTGTAAAACGAGGGCTGCCTTGCGTCTGCAGCCCTTCTATGCACTGGCCAGAGCAATAAGCTTTGTACAGAATAGAATTTCTATTTTCTTTTTGCCACGAGATGGCACCACGATCCCTCTGAGTCACAGACAGCCCAGCCAGGCAGTCCTTATTGGGATAAAACGCCCTGCCAGCCACAAATCCGGGCTGTATGAAGAGGGCAGAGCTAAATCTTGAGTCTTTATGCAGCCTCAGATCTAACTGCATTTACCTGCGAGCAAGGCTTAGAACAAAGACAATTATTTACCGTTAACCTGGAAGAATCAAGTGGTATGCAGGGAACAGGAGAAGTCCTGTCCCCATCACACAGCAGATGAGGATCCTTACCAGGGATTAACCGGCTCAAACACGTTCTGAGACAATGGATCAACCCACCTCCCATTGCAGTCCTATCAGATCCTTCTGGACTCCACTCAGCATTACAGACCAAGGAAGAAGCCAGCTGCTATAAGAGAGTCCTATTGCCTTCACCGATGAAGGGACATGATAAGGCTCCATCTCCAGTCATTTCAGAGGAGGAGGAGAAGAGACGGGAATGTCAGGAAAAGGGAGGGTCCTGACAAATCTCACAGAAAGCTGGGAGAAGTGAGGAAAGGGGAGATGGACAGGTTTTCTGTTGCTTTACCCTGATCAGCCTAGCTTCTGTGCTGCTTAAGGCAAGAGCATTTTAGAAGCATTTTTGCAATGTTTGAATGCTTGCTTGTTCACATATGGTGCTCTGAAAAAAAGTTCAGTTTATGTATTTGAGCTACCTTTGTAAAATGTTGGGAGGGGTGTCTTCACTTGTCTAGGGAGAGCTGTTAAGTCCCACATCAGTGCAGGTGTAGCAAAACCTGTACCCAGAAAGGGTCAATACTCCAAAGGAACTGTGCTAAGGTCCTTCAGAGCAAGGGGAACCTAAAATGTCCAGGGTTTGGTATTTAGGATTCAAAACCAGAAGTCTGAAAATTATTGGAAGAGCATCCATCAGACACAGAAAGAACAGGTATTTGGGAATAATTTAACCCATGTGCAGTTGAGAGTGAGAAAAGAGCAGGGATTAGATGATGGCCAACATTTGTATCTAATATTATTCCCCAAGTGAAGAAATAATGTACTCTTGAGAAGCATAATCTCCCAGAAGCTCAGAACTAGAATAACTTTCTTATGTTGTGTATTTGCTGTGTAAAGCAGTGGCTGTCCTGTCATTTCCAGTCATGTATCAGGCTGGAATTTTCCAGGTAACCTTACCCACCATCCCTCCTCTGCTTCTTAGAAAAATATTTGTTCAAGAGATATTTTAAGCATAGAGCCTGTACTTGCAAGGCTTTGAGTAAGAAGACACTACTTGTATCTACTGCACATGGATCTGGTTTCTCCTTTGTGCATCTGCTAGGTTCTGCACAAAACAATTATGTGGATTTTTCTCAGTTCAGAGCCTTGGGCTTATTGGCGTAGCACAGCGCAGACACACTGTGGGTGGGGTCTCATGGTGAATCCAGCTTCTGCAGTCATGTCCAGCTCAGATTCTTTGATCCCAGGTGGAGGCTTAAAAGTAAATTTCTGGATCAAGCCTGTGAAGAAGATGAAGAGCTCCATCGTAGCAAGACTTTCTCCAATGCAGTTTCTCCGTCCTGCAATGCCAAAAGCATGGCTGTTGGTGGAGTGATTGGGTAAGCGGTAGCTCATCCGGACACCTCTTCCTTACTACTTGGTAGCAGTAGTGTGAGGGACAGTATAGGCCTCAGAAATGCAAAATAGCATGGCATGATATTCAGCAGCCATCACTGTTGGTCTCCTACAGGCATTTGAACATGGCTGTTTCACTCTGAGCCTGCCAGGAATTGATCTGGGACACCCTAGAAACCAGCCTTCCCAAGGCAGAGGGAAGGCTGAACTCTTGCTTGAAGGCACTGAGTATTCTGTAGGTCCCAGTGGTGTCTTTAAACACCAGGGCCTGGTATGCCTCCCTGTGTGGGCTGAAGGGCTGTTTGCAAATCATCAAACCCCAGAGAGGGTATTTCCAAACCATCCCCACCACTGATGTCTATGTTGTTCCCAATGGAGGCTCGATCCTGCCACTTGAGTAATATCTTCTGAGGGGCACTGGGAACTCGGTGCCCCGGGCAGGACCAAACACTTTCATTACCTGTGGAGAACGGCAGGAATGCTTTCTTCTTTACAAAGTTCCCATCCGCATCAAGGAAATGGTTGGGATTGAACTCATCTGGCGTCTCCCATTGTGTTTTATCCAGTAGCACAGAGGTAAGCAGAGGAATCACTGTTGTTCCCTGAAGCATAACAAAGCTCTGCTTTAGAATGTGTGGATGTAGCAAACTTCTGGCTTTGCCCATTCAGCCACATAACTGCTTCTCCCTTTGGGCTGTGTCTGCAAACAAACTTCTATCTCTGAAGAACTGATTTCTAGGCTTGCACATGACCAAATTACCCTCAGTAAATGTGGATACCCAGTTCACTGAAATTACTGACTAATATGTGATTAAACAACACTGGTTGTTGGCTCTTCCTGAGTTATGAAGCAGAAGAAAGATGTGGGCCAGGCTTCCTTCCTGCCCAGCTGCCTTCTGCTTTCTCAAGCAGGCAATGAGACAATGCCATGGTACTCCAGAGGCAGAAGTGCTCTACAGGGAATGAATGACAATAGAGAATGAAGAGAATAAGGTACAGGCTCCAGATTACAAAGACTGAGTTCTGGGAAATGGGAAGTTGTGTGCATAACCCTGAAGTCACACTCCATCTGTCTGGGCACGAAGGAGACAGGGGATTAGGGAACTGGCTCTTCCCCACCAAAAGCCCTGTGCTTCAAGCTTCCCCACTCCTTATGACATTTAGTCCTGTGGGTCACTGGTGTGCTGCACCTCCCTCTTCCTTTGAAGAGAAGCAAGTACCTTGGGGATGAAGTAACCTTTAAAGTGGGTGTCAATGGAGGTGCACCGTGGAACATGTGGCAGGAGGGTGACAAATCTCTGCACCTCGTGGATCACTGCATTGGTAAATGGCATGTTTTTCCGGTCCTCAAAGGTAGGCAAGCAGTCAGGGCCAAGAACTTGCTCAATCTCTGTGTGCACTTTTTCTGCAGGGCAAAGGAAAGGCACAGAGTGAGTTTCCCTCGGTGGTAAAGCACCTCTAAATCCCCACTCATGCTGACTGTTGGTTGCACTACCTCAGGGCAGGAGGTTGCCCAGACCCTGAGAGCAGAGAGAGAGCTCAGATCCTTTGGTCCCGAATGGCAGCATACAGTGCTTGAACAGCGGTGGACAGGTTCCAGATTTTGGATGCATGAGAGACTATGAAACTTTTGCAGGTGAGAATCACTTATGAAGTCACTGCAGAGTACTTCAGTACCCTACGTAAGAAAAGCAAAATCAAAAGCAAAAAAAAGTGTCTTACTTTGAATCTCAGGGTACCTCATCAGCAGAAGGATGGCCCACTGCAATGTTGTGGATGTTGTCTCAGTGCCCGCCATGAGCAGGTCAAGCGCAGAGGCCAATACATTCGCATCATGAAAAATTGTATTGTTTTTATTTTGCTCCTTTGGGGAAAAAAAAGAAAAAAACATGGCTGTTAGTACAGAGAGAGAACTAGGGCAGGTGACTTAGTCTTCAGAAACATTACAGTGGGATGCATGTCGATTACAAGTGCCAAGATGCACTGCACTGACATACCAATACGGAAGTGTTACACTTTTCAGCAGAAATATTTTCACAATTAAAGTTTTGCTCCAAAAAATTAACTAACTGGACAAATTAATTGTTTTTTTCCAACATCACATGACATTTATCTATTCTGGGCAGTGGTTATTCAATCGACTCAGAACTTCCATCTCCTGCCTGTGGATCCTGAAAAGGTGGGAAATTGATGAGTGGTGCAGGACCGTGCCTTCCCAAGTCAGGGAGCTGGGGTTTGCCTAGGTGTGTGCCAGGCCCTCCTAGGAGCCACAGGAAAGCCATGAAAGCCCAGGACACCACTGGTACATCAATTCCACTGTCCCTGCTTCGTGCTGCTGGTGGGAAACACTTTGCCCGTTCCTGTGTGCAACAGCTGAGGCACTCACAAAAGGTGTCAAGCTCAAATACCCGTCCTGCCCACCACCCGGCTCAAGTACAGGGATGCAAACACTTGGAGAAGAAGGGCACATCCAGACTGATACTTCCTTGCTATACTCCCACACTGTCATTCCTGTTGGTAAATCCACCACATGGGAGCTAATGATGTGTTTGCAGAAACGCAATAGGAACTTCTGCATCTCTGCAACTCGTAATCTGTTGCCTCTTCCCATGCCCATAGGGAGGGATGTGTCTGCCTGGAGTGTGTTGGAAAAATGATATTACCTCTTTCTCTTTCTCCAGCAATGAAGGGACTACAGCTGACAGCTGAGGACAAGTTTTAGACATACACACAATACTGTGTACTTAATTATTTCTTGCTTTTCCTTCAGTATCCAGTGTTTAACATATTAAAATACTCCAAATTTAAATATTTTCAGATAGATTGTAATAGAGCAACACAGAGCATCTCTGTATAACATACCGCACTAGGAAACATCATATTGTTAAAATACCTCTTGTTTGAATACCAATGCATCAATGTAGCTCGTCAGGTTGTTTTCATTAATACTTTCTTTGCTTTCCTTGATGTGCTTCCTTAAGATCACACAGACCTCTTCTACTTTTTTCAGTATCATCTTGTGAGGTTTGAGAAGAAATCCAAGGACAGGGTAGAAATTAAATAACTAAAAAGAAAAAAAGGGGACAAAATCACAGAAAAAAAATTAAATTCGCCCATTACCTTACAAAACTCAGGTATCACAATGAAGAAATCATTTATGTGAGGAACCAAATGATATGTGATTGGATCCTCTTGTTTGGTAACTAAAAAATTTTAATGTATAAAAATGCCTTTTCTTATTAAAAATTCTCTACAGAAATGAATGGAGCCTATCAGACTTGTCTAGACAGAGCCTATAAACACGAATTTAAAAAAATACAATTAAGGGAAAGTGATAGTAAACTCATGAAACAATAAAATTACATTTTTAAAGAGGTAATAAAGCAAAAAGATAAAGCATTACGCATTACGCAAACTCTAAATGTTTAGCAATTCAAAATACTTATGTTTTAAAGTTGTTAGATCATCATTTTTAACTTTCACATGAATTATAAATCAATTACACTCAGTTCTCAGCATCATTAAATTTCACAGCACAATAAACAGTTGCATTTTATGTGCAGGGGGGGTTACTTACACCATTTCTCAATGTTATAAATAAACTGGCTGCAGAATAAGATTCACACATCTCTTGCTCTTGCTAACTGGTTATAATTTTTGCTGTTTTCTGAAAAAACTAAACCTGCTGTAGAGATTAAAAGAAAGGGGATGTTGTAGTATTGTAAGTTGTAACTATTGTAAATAGTTCTTATTCAAGCAATAAATTCATCAGCATCTTTTTTTTTTTTTTTTTCTTAACAGCTTTCTGGATAACTGTTTCAATATTACCTTAAGTAATTAATACTCCATTCCTTGTGATGGAGGATTAAGTTTAACAAGAGCTTGCCGCTCATATGAGAACCTCTTAGTTGGAATACTCTTTTGATGATTCTTATGTTTCAGTACCCTAAAGACACTCCAAAACTATCCAGTAATAGTAGGTCAGCTTGACCTACCAACTCCAATGAGATACTGGAGCATCTCGTCACAGAGGGTAACTTACATGTAAGAATGGAGAGCCAAGAAGGTGCATAACTTCATCTATGAGCCTTAACAGAGTGAGAAATGTTGGGTCTTCATAATCAAACCTTCTTCCAAAGAGAATAGAAAAGGTGATGTTGGTGGGGGCCATATTCAAAAATCGTAATGGAAAAGGTCCACCTAGAAATTAACAAAATCATAACTGTATTGGCCATTTCTGGGGAAACCCAAATGTCTTCACAGTGGCTTTGTAAAGTAGCATGAAACACTCAATGGCATCTCCAGCTCACCTTTGAAGGATTTGATCAACTCAATGAGAAAATGAAGCTCCTCAAGCATCTTCTCTTCTCCAAGATGCTTCCCCATGCCGAGATCCCGCATGGTGGCTATGGTGAACCGCCGTGTTGTCTTCCAGAGCTCTTGAGAAGAAAAGAACACACCTACGGAAGGATTGCATGCTCTGTTTGCCGAGGCAGTACAGGATTTTCTCAGAAACATCAAAAGCACAGCTGGGGAGCACAGGCATTTTGCAACCTGGTAGAGCCTGCTTGGAAGAGGACTGGGGGGGGGGCTCTTGTGGAGCTGGCTTGGGAAAGCACTGCCCCAGGTAGGTTCAGGAAAGCAAGAGGCAATATTTTAAACAGTTGGGTGCTGTTCACACCAAGGCTCTGGGTTTGGCTTGTTTATAGCTTTGTCTTTTTGCAGCCATACAGAGTAAAAAGCTCTATGCATGGTCTTTGTCTCAGGCCGACTTGTTTTTCCTTAGAAAAATGAACCAGCTGTTTCAGAGAGCAAGGCTAGGAGCAGATGACACCGTTCCATCCCTGTCATGAACAGAACAAATCATTTCACTGAACAACTTGAGGTTTAGAGGATGAACTGTACACTGTGCAGGGGGACAAGGAGGGGTGGCAGGGAGGCACCTTTGCTTACATCTGGGGAATACCCCCTGGCTGGCTAACTCATTGGCTAAAGAAAGTGCTCAGCCAAGAGTGCATGGAGGTGTTTGGGTACAATTCAGAAGTCCTCCCTTCCCCCCTTCAGCCTTCCAGGGCTGAACATAATCTGCATCTTCATATGGTGGTTGGGAAAGTAGTGCAGTGCACCCTTCCTCACGCTGGGCCTCACTCTTAAAAACAAGATAAAAAAAAAAAAAAAACAAAACCGCCACACACTGTATGCATTATATACATATTAGGTCATCAAATATTTTCCTTTCAGCCCTGGATTATTCCCTTCATTGTTTTTCAATGTCTAGTCTTGGGCAATGTATTACTTTTTAGCGTGCAATTCAGAAACATGCCAAAAATCTGTTTACAGAAGTAATTGTTTGAGGTACAAACAGCCCGTGCTATTGCACTCTTGCCAGTTCTTTCAGTCTTTATCATGAGTCATGTGTGATCCATGCTTTGTCTGAACTCCCAGTAACTGTAGAAAAGAGATTGCATAAGGACCTCAGCCTTCACATTGTGAAAAATAATTTCCTTCCCTTTGCACTGTAAAAAAAACCCCTTGAAATGTGACCCAAGTAACACTAAAAGCAAAAAACTGATAAGGTAAAGAGGAAGATCCCCAGATAGGAAGTATTTTTCTTAAGAAAACAAACAACTGCCCCCAAGCCCCACAAAACGTAGCCCTCAAGGATAAGGACACATATCAAGACTTAAATACTGTTGCAATTGAAACAACGCATTTGAGAAACAGCATAGCAGGCGCATCCTTGTCTTTTCAACCTGCCAGTACCATTTCCGTGTTGGATGTGATAGAATATGGGTATAGCTGGTCTGTCCTCAAACACATCTGCCGTGTTCAGAAGGGCATCCTTTACTGTTTCATAGCCAGTGAGCACCACCACGTTCTGAAAACCCAAATGCACGGTGAACACAGGGCCATATTTCTCTGAAATCTAGAAGGAGAGAAAAATCAGAGCATGGAATTTGTGAGTGGGAGTGGTAAGTCTTGATGGGGTGGCTGAAGAGTTGTCTTCCCTCCTCCTTCTCTGGCCAGAAGGGATGGAGGGATGCCAGAGATAAAGCCCTGAGACACTTAAATGAAAGAGGAATCAAAGCAAATAAACACTGGTCTTTTTAACCCAAGAGCTTCCATAAAACTACTGTCTTTCTGAGCTGGCTGGACTCAGGTTGGCCGGGTGGGTTAAAGAGTCAGAAGGTAACAAGACTCTTTGGACACCAACAGCAGCATAAAAGCATCACTGCCAGGCAGCTATTGAGCAACTGCTGATTGAGCAGGCTGTAACACTCCAGTCCACCAAAAGAGAATGGAAGAGCATAACCTTATTTGTTAGAAAAAGTTAAATAAAAGCTTTATAGTAATTAAGGCAAAGAGGTATATAATATGATTCACCAAGGATGGACATATGAAGGCATAAGAAACCATTGCTCTTTCAACTTGCCCTAGAAAATTACCACAATACCACACTCTACTTTTTATTTCTGCTACACCATAGTTTTCAAGCCACGGCACAGTTGGACTTCATAGTGAGATCTGAGATACCAGGTAGCAGGCACTCTCTGGAGGCTCACAAATATGGCTCTGCCAGGCCTTACAAAGAATTAAGACTCGACTGAGAGCAATGGAGTTGAAACTGCATAAAGCTATTATGAAATCAAGCCTGGTGTCCCACAAAAGGAGACCAGTTCTGGCAATGTAAACCAGAGAAGGTTCCAAAACTTAGTAACCTCCGCTGCTGTACCAAATCAAATAGGTAGCCCAGGCAGAGTCTTATCTGTGCTTCAGCAATATAGCCAGACTTGTTTTATTTATACAAAAAAAAATATAGTTCACAGGATGCTGATTTTAATTATTTGTTCAAAATAATGTTTTGATTGCTGCATCATCTACTGTGCAACTTTCATGGGGAAATCCTTTAGGAATTCTCCTTTTGGAGAGGATTTTCTACTCCAGGTCATTTGTTTGCTAATACCTTAAAAGTCTTTTGGCAAGTCAACTTTCAGATCATTACTGCAGATTCACAAGCTGAATATAAAATCTCACCCCACTTGTAGCTGCAGCCTGGAGGACCCTCTCACCATCCTCTGCCCTTTGCAGTCAGGGCGAAGCAGACACAGGCTGACTGCAAAGGGCAGAGGATGGTGAGAGAGTCCTCCGTGCTGTAACCACAGGCTCCTTTCCCAGTTTGTTTCAGCAGAAGAACCCTTTCCCAGTTGGCTTCTTGATGCTATAGTTCAGTGGGGGAAAGAAGGCATTGGCATGGCCAACGTGTCCGATACCTTCTTCTTGAGTCTGTGCTTCACTGAGATGTTATCACCTTGCTCTTGGATCTCAGGTCACCTCCTCTCCAGTTTCTTCTTTGTTTATTCTTCCCAGCACGTCCATGCACAACCCCCAAACCCCTTCCCCCCCTACCTTTCTCTGCAGAAGGATTTCTGGTCTTGCCAGAAACAGGAACCACAGTCCAAACCATTTCCCACCTCCCAAGCTCTGGATGTTGAGCCCCCTGTGAGCTGGCTGGTGTAGGATGAAGATGCATCTCCACAGGCATCTTGGAGGCCCCTCACATGGCACAGTGATGCGAACGAAATAGGGGAAGCCAGCTCCTCTTCTCTACATAGTGCTAAGCAGGGCAGGGGGCTGCTGGCAACCTGATGTTAAAAGGCTTGGTGTAAGGTGCAATATATTCACACCCCATATCCTGACATGTGGAATGCCTGCTGAGCCACATTTTGGCTCTGAGAGACTAAACACATTGAAATTTTCCCCTTTTTTCTGGAAGACAGATGTGAGGCAACTGTGACTCCTATAGAGAACCTTGTTTTGCGTAAGTCCAAGTCATTCACTGTTTCAAATGATTTCTTGTACATTTCTTCTTTGGGCTGTGCGGTATTAATTCCCATTCTCATGAAAAACTGCCAACATGCATAAGAAATACAAGATATTTTGGCAACCACAATTAAGCATCCATCTTTCAATTTGGCCGTGTGGACACTCAAATATTTTTAAGTATTTCACAACACAAGGAAGAAGCCAAAATTTAGGTCCGTCAGTCTGATCTGATGTGGATGCTTACAATTTTCAATGTGTGGGTAGTTCTCATATAAGCACTGCTCATATTTAAAATCGCCTTCTGCAGAGTTGGGATTTAACAATTTCCTTGGTCATTCTGAAACCTTTAAAGCATCACAGTTTTTTAAAAATGCATTTGGCAACAAAAATCATCTCATCACTGTCACCAGAGGAGAATTTTAAATAGGTACATGCTGACATTCAACACCCTAGAAACAAAGGACACTTGTTCTTACCTTCATTAGTGACTTGTCTTGCCTTCTGATGTCCAGCAAATGCAGATTGCCAATGATCGGAAGAGGAAAAGGACCGGGAGGCAAATTTAAAGCTGATTGCTTAAAAACCTTTAAAACATAGAGTGCAGCCAATAAAAGCAATGCGCACGCCCCACAGATGAAGAGGAGTATGAAGGCAGTCATATTGTGATGGGGCTTGCCTTTCTGGAAAGCCACTGGGACACCTTTATTAGAATGCTCGCATTATTGCATTGTATTTATTCAGAGTAAATGATGTCAGGGTTTCTGCTGCACTTTGCACAATCTTCCCCTCCACCCCCAGAGTTCTCCACAAAAATTGGAACTTATGTCTGCAAAAGGCAAAGTCCAAGCACAACTCGTGGAGGTGCAGGCTTGCAGGCTTCCTGCCGAGTGTAGCAGGACAGGTTTGCTTCATTTCCAAAGCCTAGTTCAGATTCTTCTGCCTGTAATAATTTCCCAGCACCTGGGAGCCCCATATCTTTATTATTATGAATCAACCACGGAATTTCTCTTAAGATTTCCTCTTCATTCCTCATTTCCATCCTCTCTATCTAACCTTTCTCTGAACACAAACAGCTCTTTACTTTCTGCCTTCTAGCTCTTTACCTTACAAATGCTGATCCCAAAATAATCCTTCAGGGTAGACAAGCATTGCTTATCCCACGGCACAGTGAAGGAGCAGCAGGTCCTGCAGGTGAAGAGCCTTGCTCCAGGCCATGCATGGAGCTGGGTGGACAGCCTGTGGACAGCATCTTCCCTCCTCTTCCACCTTCTTGTGTCCTTGCAGAGAAGCGTTTTCTCCCAGTGAAGGGAAACAAAACAGGATAATCTTGACATGCAAAAAAACCCAGGGCCCGTTTGTTCCCTCCACAGATTCAGAGCTCTGTTGCGTATTTTTCTGCTCTTCCTATTTATTGACACGTTGAATCTGGGCTGTCCTGAAGGCCTATATGGTAGGCAGACAGAAAGCTACTCCTTACATCAGGGTAGCCCTATAGCCTGGCTTGAACAATTTGTCAGCCCCATGTAAAACACTGAACAAGGCGCTTTTACAGTTCTTACTCTTCCTTACTGTGGGCTACATTACAGGAAGCTCAATAAAATGCAGAGTTGCTGAAGTCCTCTTATTTTTTCCCCCATCAGAGACCAGTGAAAAACTAATTCAATGCTGCAAACCCCAAAGTCGCAGTTCAGTGTCATGCCTCCCTCTTTCATGAGTGGGTCTGTCAGTGAGGGGCATTTCTTCCAGCTTCCCATCCAGTGTTAACCGGTAGCATTTTCACTTTATACACAACAAAAGGGATATAAAAATCATGTCTTGAAGAGCTGGATTATTGAATCAATATAAATGTGGAAGGCTTTGCAAAAGGTCTGCTGTTCCCACTGGTTTCTGGCAGCGTCTAACAGAGTGAGACCTGTCAGAGACATTAGTGGAAACACATCACTTTTGTAAAATTACCCTGATCTCACAAACGATGCAATGGTCCCGCAGGTAGGAAAAGAGCATTTGACACCTTTTTTTTGAGCCCTTTTAGATCACAGGGATTTTGTACTGCTCCGTACTGTACCATGAGATAGCATCAGCCTTGAGGATGCTTTGGGTCTGTTCCAAGCTGCAGCAAGGTTCACACTTACACTGGACACAATGCACATTCAAACCTGGACTCCCCATGGACTGTCCATGACAGTCAGGCCACAGACGGACTGGAGAGGATGTGATCTCAGCTCATACGCAGTCCTCTCCCCAGCTGTGCACTGATGGGAACCGTTCGTGAATCCCAAGCCCGCTGTGTTACAAACAACAGCATCTGTGGTAAGAGCAGGAGACCGGGCGTCTGGATACGGGTGTTTGTGTCCTTGCGTGGACAATGACTTGCCTGTGTGGCTTTGAGGAGCGCAGCACAGGGCTGTCCTCGGGGCGTGCACCAGCGCTGGGCTGTGAATGCAGGCGCTGTGCCCAGAGCCCCGCTCCCCTGGGGCTGACTCAGCTCCTACCCTTTCGTTATCGTCATTTCTGGGAGGCCTTTGGGCTGCATGTAGAAAGGAGGTAAGCAGGACACGGTATAGGAATGGCATCTTCTCACACCGTAAGAATTACCAAAAGCAAGAGGCAGAGAGATGTCACTCTGACACTAGGAATGTCTTTATGTTTCCCAAGAAGGGAGCAAGGAAGCAAAATCAGCCTACCCCTCCTTGCACACCCAGCCCTCTGCTCTCAGCCTGCCCAGCCGGAGGAAAGGTTACTCATTACCTGCTGGGTGAAGCAACCCGTGAAAGAGGCAAAGCTGGGCAAAGATAACAGCATCTTAGATGGCCTGCAAAAACATTTTCATCTAAGAGATTTAAGTTAAAAATTAAAATGAAAATTAATCTTTATCTAGGAGTAAATGATCTCTCTGAAAAAAGTCAGAATCTCTCCATTCATGGTAGGGTCATGTCACAAGTCAAGGGAGAAATTACAGAAAGGGAAGCTCAGAAAGAAAAGCCTTTATACAGAATGCTCCAGGACCGAACCACCCATGGATTTGTAGTTGGGAAAGAAAGTAATTCCTTGGGCTGCCTATAATTATTTGGAGGTCGAGTCCTTCCAAATCAGTCACTCTTGGTTAAAGAGGACTAGAGAGCAGAAACTGAGGTCTTCCCTGCATCTGCCCTTGGAGCCAGCAATGAGCAGGTGGGGTTAAAATTCAGACTGTAATCATCACCCTTTCTGGATATATCCTACTGTAACTTTGTATAACAAGGGGCCTCATGAACACCATGCTGTTCAAGCCCTGCTCCTGCAGGAATCAGTAGAGAAAGCCTTCAAAATCTTTCACTGAGGTATTCAGGACTACATTTATCAGGTGGATAAATCTGTCCCCCAAATCCTCATCTGGTAGCTTTGAGAAGCATCATATTATTCTCCAGCACGTACAGCAGTCACACACAGAGTGCGCTGGGATGTGCTCTCCAGCCCTGCAGCAAAGTCCCTTTCACAAGCAACTGTGTCCCCAGCCTCTCCCGTATGTGGGCAAAACTAACAAATTAAGGTCACTTCTGGGCATTTGGTGGTAGGAAAGTATTTCATTTCTGCTTTACAGAAAAAGGCTTCAGGCCCAAGCCAGGTTGTCCATTTCTTTGAATCTAGGATATTTTTCAAGGTAAGTACAATGAAATAACCTTGCAGCAGAGGTGAATGCTCTATCCCCTCCACTAGCACACTTGGCTCCAAGTTGAAGCTGCTTTACCTGATGAGCACTGGGCTGAGACAGTCTGTCTCTCCAGGGGCCAGCCTGGCACCAACTTTGCTCTCAGACCTTTTACTGTTTTCTGAGGCTTCAGGGTTTGCTCTTCATCATCACACTGGGCTCCTCCTTCCCCAGCACCACTGGCAAACCCAGCTGCTGCACATTTTCAGGCAGGATTTGCTGTAATTTTTAAATTCTGCTTCCCTGGCATTCTCATCCCGTCACCCAGTCTCTGATCCTTGAAGTTTCAACCCCAGGTTTTAACTGTTGCTTAATTATGCAAAAACATGACATATTCAACATAAATACTTTTTTGCTCCTCTCCTTCTGCATGAAGATTTCCGCTTTTCCCCCTCCCTTTTCTCTGTTAAAAACAACCTGCTCCTTGATGGTACCCATGGGCAGGCCTGCCCTGCCTACATGGTGTTTACCTGCACCAAAAGCTCTGCACATCCGAGCCCGTACCTGGGTGGCAAAGCCATGTTGCTGTCCCCAGGGCTGTAGGAACAGCCACCTCTCTGCAGCTCACATGTCCCTGTAACTAGCCTGGGACACATCCTTACATGATTGCTGCTTTCCTGGCAACAATAGAGCCTGAAACTGGCAGTTCTTCCAAAGCAAACATGAAATCATAGGTGGGCAAAGCCTCCCACCTCCATAGTCCCATGTTACTGCACACCAAACAAAAGCCAGTCTTGCCAAGATAACAAGGTCAGGTCTCCAGGTTGTGTTTTTCAGGTTGCAACCTTGAAAATGCCATTCCCTCTCTTGTGAGTGGGCTTTTCCTCTCCATCCTCATCTCCACACAGCCCGCCTCAAGCAAGCAGGAGAGTGCCGGGGGGCCGTGCCCTGGGAAGCCAGTGGGATCAGCGGGAAGTGGCAGGACCCGCACGGAGGGCAGATCAGCCAGGAAGGAGCCAGCAGCCCTCCAGCGTGGGTGGCCTCAGCAGCACTTTGCTCCATGGCTGCAGCTTGCAGGCGGCCACGGGAAAAAAAAATAAGCCCTTTTCCATTTATTTTTCTTCCAAGCTGTGTTTTAAATGTTACCCTGAACGGCCCTTTGAAGCAGCACGAGCTGCCTCAGACCTCTCTCCTCAGCTAATTAACACGTGCCGACAGCCGTGACAGCCTGGCGCAGCCCTGAGCAAGCTCTGGCCCAAACCCCACCGCCCAAGCCCCTCCATGCCTTGCACAGCCAAAATGCTGTTGACCCTGAAACCAGCAAGTGCCTTTAAGTCATTAATCCATGCACAAGCTTTATCTTCCAGGTTGGGGCTGCCTATCATGAGCTTGTGTCTCCTCGCAGAGCTCAGGAGCACCAGCTCTTACTGGGTTTGGAGAGGTTTGGGGTTTCCTGTTCAGAGCTGCAGGCTGGGCATTTGTCAGAGGAAGGTTGAAGTCCTTAAATGGTGTTAAGCGGGATACAAGCTTCTACAGTCCTGTGTAGATGGTCTTTCAAAACGCCCCATCATATTTCTCAGTTCCTGGGGTCCATCACTCATGTCAGGGACACTAGCTGCTCTCCAGCGGCAGTACTTTACCCTTCAGTGGAATGTGAAGTGCACTCCAGCTAAAAAAATGCCATTATCTCTGGTTTATAAAAGGAAAAACCAGATGGAAAAAAACGAAAAGATTTGTTCAAAGGCCACATGAGACAATGACAGAAACATGAGCAGAATCGCAGTCATCGCTAACAGGCATACCAAAAAGGGCGACACAATAAACATGCCCCCAGAAGATAATAAAGTAACTCAATCTATCACGATTCAGATATTTTATCACTCATGGAGCACTTGAAACATGACTTGCAATCACAAAATCCAGCCTGTGGTTTTAAACCTGTGGTCTCAGCAGTGGCAATACTGAGAAACAAGCCCATCTCCATTCAAGAGCTGTTTTAAACAAACCCAGACCTCCCTTGGAAGCATTCTA